TTCTATCTAAGAATGGTTGGTTACGATGACTTTGGAGCATTGTGTATTGCTCAAGGTATCAAAATTTATTGAGATGGCAAGACTTAATTTTGTCTAAAGGTTACTAGCATTGCTTGAATGAGGAAATGCACTTGATTAATAAGTTGTTGAAGTTTTGGTTGAGAAACAATGGCTGTCATGACAGGAACATCCATCCTGCGTTCTAACCCAAGTGTGTCTTGATTGTTTGTTATGGAGTGCCTTAGAAATGTCAAAAATAAGCTCTAAATAACTTACGATATTTTGATTAGTTTTCTACAGACAAAACTAATTGATGATGTTTTAAAATTCAAGATGATTAGAAATAAGGTTTTTTGTGGTTAGATTTTGAGATTAATCAAGTTTTCTTGAAATTTGATCCATTCTCCACATCTTAAAAAAATAGTAGCTTGATGTAACAAGCCAAATACTTGTATAACACTCTTTTTTGATAGATTTGAAGACTCTTATATATTTAATTTAATATATTTATAGAGATAGAGTGCAATAATATACAAAAGAGCATTAAACCCCAATAATAAGGTTGTCTACTCTAGTTTTGGTATGTAATGAATGCTTTATAGGAGAAAATAATGTTATGTGTTGATGCTGAGAATACAAAAAATTATGAACCTTTTACCTAAATGGTTCAACCGGTATTTATACCTCCTAATTTTTGTCCTCTTACTTGAATAAAGGAGTTGAAAAGTCATTTCTTGATAATATTAATGAGAAATAAATATCTCTTACAATACATTAATGATGAATAAATACCTTTTGCACAAAAATTAATAAGGCATAAATATCCTCACATGAGTTAATAAGATGGAAATGTGGTATGTCATGAGAGGCTTTTGTACACCTAAGGGTATAGGTGAAGTATAGACTTACAAATAAAGTCTTTTGTATTACATGAAATAAATCAAGGAATACCTAACTCCTCAAAGGTAAGATGCCTAGAGTCCCTGACACTTTGGATCCAAACTAAAAAGCCTAACTAAAATGCCTTAATTTAGTAAACAATTGCACCTAGCATTAAGTGCAGGAGACAGACACTAGGTTTAGTAAAACAAATTTAAAGGGTCAGGTGTTAGATCCAATCTATAAGCCCAAGCCCAATCAATGCTCGAGTAAGGCTCAAACCATGATTCCAAGGCCCAATAGACATCAAGATGGTGTCGGGTGTAGGGTGCTAGGCAATTCCCGACACTAAGCTAGGTCACAATGCTTAAGCTTTAAGAACACTATGTTGTTTGGCCTTACATTGGGCATATACAATGTGCTTGAGTTCACGAGGCACCAAAAAAAATATATTAAAGGTCAGTTTTTGCCCCGTGCCTAAACATTGTTTAATATTAGGTTTAGGCCCAACGGTTATCAAGACATGCACATAGGTTTGGCTCTAAGCACAATGCCCAGAACAAAAGGGCGACATACAAAGCCTAGGCTCATTAAAAAAATCCAAAAAGTTCAAGTTTTGATCCTAAACCATAAACCCTGCCTAATAAATACTTGATATTAGGCCTAAGCATAACACCTGGGCCTAAAAGGTGCCAAGTCATGTGCATGATGTGGCGTCTTGCTCTAGGAGATACGAGGCAACAAGTGGCTAAGGGCCATGTGGCCAAGCGAGAGGCTTGGGTGCCATGCATACTGCATGGCACGATGCCTAACCCCAAAGGATGCAAAGTGACTGGTGGCTAGGGGTTAGGCCAAGTTGCTTGGTTCTAGCCCAGACTAACAAAAAGTTATTGAGAAATATTGATAAATCTCAATCCATCATTATTTTAAAATGGATTAATTCCAATTAGTATGAATAAATACTAGAAACATAAAATTGTTTTCATTATTGTCATATGATTAGTGGTTTTTCAAGTTAATTGTGCTAAATCATAAATTATAGAATAACATATTAAATATTGTTTGATATTTTTTTTTTAATTTTTGTTTTATTACTATATTTATGACCGGTGCTATGTTGTGGGTTGAATCAATTTATTTTTAAGCATAAAAAAGTTTATGATTTTAATAGGAAAAAATTAAACATTATGGAGATTGACCAGATATGACTTAATTAACTTGGTGGATCTAAAGTTAACTCGAACAATTGGTAAAAATATAATTTGACTTAAAATAAATATTTAAGATGATTTTTTTAATATAGATATTAAGACAATAATATATTGAATTGATTTGGTTCAACACATATTAACCAACCAATCTACATTTGAGATTATGAGACCATGATAACCCTATAACAAGCAAATTAAAACAAATTATGAAGCTTAATTTTCAATAAATTCAATATTTAAGGATAATATTGAAACAAATTTATTTAAAAATTACAATAAAATGATGAGTCAACTTAGGTTAACCTACCTAACTCATAACTCGAATCATAAGATTAGGACAACCCAAGAGAAAGTAAATTGAAACAAATTATGAAACTAAATTCTCAATCAACTTAGTGTTGAAAGATAAAATAAAAAAATAATTAAAAAAATAAAAAAATTACTTGAGTAAACCTAACCCGTCAAATTTATGACCCTAGTTATGAGACAAGTATAACCTTCATAGAAAATAAACTAAAACAAATAATAAAGCTTAATTCTCAATCAACTTAATGTTAAAAGATGAAATTGAGAAAATTCAATTAAAAAAATCAAATCAATCGAGTTAACTTGACAAACTAGTAGTTTACATTATGAAACTGAAATAAAATCATAAATTAAATTGAAAAATAGTTATGAAGCCTAATTACCAATAAATCTAATATTGAAAGATGAAGTTGATATTGAAAAATCTTTTTAAAAAAAGGATATAAAAAATGACTCAAGTCATTCCAAGTTAACCCATCACATTCATTACTTAAGTAAAGAGATAGATATAACCTCTTATAGGGTTGTTCACGGTTCGGTTCGGTTAAGACTACAAAACCCAACAAAACCGAGTAACTTAAATTTTAAAAAATTTAAATTGAACTGGACCGAAAGCTAGTTCAAATTGAACTAGTTTGGTTTAGTGAAACTTAGTTATTTTGCTATAAAATTGAGAAACATAATTTTATCATGTATGGGCTTTTCTAGGTTTTGCCAAAATTTTATTGTTCAAATCTTGCAAATATAACAAAGCCCCAAAAGTTTTAGCATCCCGATTAATAAGAATATTCATTGGTAAAAAAATTTACAAAAGAAAAGAAAAGGACAAACTAGATTGGAAGGCCAACCTTCTCCCGTGGACACTAGTTGTAATTGCACTTTTTACTAAGCCACCAATCTAAAGTTGCGTATGTAAAATTATCATTAGTTTTTGCTATAAAAGTTACCCCTTTAACAAAAAAAAAAAAACTAGATTTTCGCAATGGCTTATGTAGAATAAAGAGAGAAGCCAAAGAGATGGAGATGTGAGTTTTTGTTCAGCTAGATAATACGAGACTTGTTGTAGGCGAATGACTTAACTTTTGAGTTTTGAGATGGAGAGTAGAGGATGGTGGCTTTTTGTGCTATCTATTATGTTATTGTTGGGGTAAGGTTAACAATAATATTTATACCCTTTTTGTTTTTTGGTTAGTTTTATTTAGTTCATTGGTTTCAATTTTAAAATTAAAATCAAACCGAACTGACAAGATTTTATGATTTTGAAAATTGATTTAATTAATTTTTCATCTCAGATCAGTTTTCTCAGTTAAATTTTCTTTAGTTTTATTGGTTTTCTTGGTGATCGATCTTTTTAAATACCCCTAACCTTATAGAAAGCAAACTTAAAAAAATTACAAGGCCTGATTCTTAATTAACTCAATATTGAAAGATAAAATTAAAAAAAAATTAATTGGTCAAAAGAAAAAAAAAATTTAATTACCCGAGTTAACCGGTTAAATCTGCAATTCAGGTCATAAAACTAAAATAACATTATAAAAAATAATTAAAATAATTATAAATTTCAATCTCTAATAAATCTAATATTAAAAAATTGAATTGAAATTACAAAAAAAAATATAAATTAAGAATGAATAGTATCATTTAAGAAAAAGTATATTAAAATAGTCTTATCTTTTAGTGATTTTTTTTTAATAATATTGTGTACCGTTTAATGCGTGTGTGTGTATATAACTTTGCTCCAACCTCCATGCAAGATTCTCAAAATAAATGCATTTTAAAATAAGGTTGTTAATTACATTTTTTTTTGTCTAAAATAACTAAAATATTTCATACCAATTCAAAAAAAGGAACAAAACAGAAAATTTTTTATCTCATTTTAAATTTCGACCCGTTTCAAATTTTTTTGGCTAAATTTAGGTTAGAATGTTATGATTTCATTCCACGTGTTCTGTTTCAGTATTGAAAAGTAATTAAATCAAATTGAACTTGGTTCAATTTAATTAATTAAACCACCCATGTATAAAAAACTCATTTTTATTACTATTTTCAATAGCAATAATATTAATAATAATATTAAAAATTATTAGTACTATTTTTATTAACAATGATATTAATTTTTTTAAATTAGATTCATCACTAATATATATGGTTTATATTCATGTTGTTAACTTTATATTTAAGTAAAATAAGGGATGTTTTAGATTCTATTAGCTTTAATAACATTTACTTAACTTTATATTAAAAATATTTATGTTAAAACATTTTACTTTTATAATATTTTGATATTTTATTTAAGTTGAATTATTTTAAGTTAAGGATTTATTTAATCTTAATTATTTAAAAATATTTTACATTTTAAAATTATATTTATTTGGCATGATTTTTGTATTATATAAGATATAATTACTTTATTTTAAATTTAAATTTTATTTGTTGAATATATAAGCCCGACATGTGTAAACACTTTGAAATTAAAACATTCCAGACAACCTTGTTTTAAAGTGATGCTATGATTATGATAAATGAATTGTTTATGTGTGAATGACATTTATAAATCAGTCATACACTAGGTTTGTCTTGGCAGGAACGCAGATAAAAATTAAAATATTAAAATCACAAATCACAATTCACAATTGTCGGTCAAATTAATCCAAGCAACCACAGCAAGGTCACCGCCCTTTTCCAAACAAACCTGAGACTTCATGTCCAAATCCAACTAGAACACTGTGTTGTGACTTGTCGTTCCAAACAAACTAACCTTCCTCGTTCCATCACTGCTCTGTATCTGTCTGTCTCTGTCATCGACAAACAAACGTAAGCAACCAACAACGTCATATTTCTTTCCTTTTAGTTTTTTTTTAATCTATCTATGAATGAATGTATATGTTCTTGACTTTCTGTGAATTTTTTTTTTTGAGTTTTGTTTACTTTGATGAAACAGGAAGCCAGTACTGCTTCTGGGCTCTCATAATTATCGGTTTTTCTCATTAATTACTGCTATGGTGATTTCTGGGCTCTCATAATTATCGAAAGAATTTTGGTTTTTCTCATTAATTACTGCTATGGTGAATAGCGTAAGCAACATTAAATTCTGGGTTTATTTATCTTAAGTCGGTGGATGCTGTTTATAATGGATCATGTCGAACATATTATGGCGTAATTGTTATTAATTTATGATTTTTTTTTGGTTTTTTTGGTATGGATGGTTAGAATTTTAATGGAAATAGCATCATATGTGAGTCCCAAATCTGCTCTTGATTCCTTTTGGTATTGACAAAGAATGGGTTTTTTATTTGATTAGAGTCTTGGTGCAGTTCAGCTCTTATGTCATTAATTCCATTCAAACACTTTGTCATTAATGTCGACATCTCTGTCTGTCTGATTGCTATCGAGCATGCAGCTAGATATTATACATTTTAGTGTGTGTTGGATCAGGTAATCTAGGATCAGGTAGTCTGGGCGAAACTTTCAATTTGTCCTTAACTGCTGTTATTGCTCATAATTTTCACTCAGGCTCTGTTTGAAGAAAGATGAAAGAAAATTAAAGAATGTGAAAATTGTTTGTTTAATTAGTGGCCTTAATCGTAAAACCTGCAAATTTCTTCTAAGAAAACTTGCATTGGGTAGTAGCCTTAGTTAGAGGATCAATTCAGTGGTTTCATATGGATTCCTTGCAGTTAATACTGTATTATTTTATGTATCTACTGGTGTTAAATCCTGCATTATGCATAGTTCAGTGACTCATAACTGGCTCCTCTAGTTCAAAGGTCCAATCTCCTTCATCTGTTTATTTCTCACTATTCATCTTATGGTTAGGCTTAGGGGGTGTGTGGTTGTGGTGCCTGTTTTTCTTTAAGCACAAATTCTACGGTATTATCATTAGTTGTGTACATGTATATAATCCTCTAGATTCTATTTATTCAATATTTGAGAACTGTGAACAGGATTTAGTTTAGTTTACAAGATATTGATCATACCATATTTGGCTTCTGTTCAGACGTTAGTAAAAAGAGAGTGCTTGCTGTAATGTGTGTAGTTAATAATGTGTGGGCTTGTGGTATAAAATTACAAGTTAATCAGCAGTTTTTCCTCTACTGGAACTTTTTATTACTCTCAATTAGAGTAAATTATTTGAGAACCATTTAGTTGTATGAGAGGTCATCAAATTGTGTTCGCAGGGTGCATTTTTGCATTTCCAATAAAAACATGTAGCTTTTCCTGAGGGATATAATGGTCCTTTATTCCTGATTTAAGCATTTGAATACCCTTCAAAGAAAAAAAAAGAGCTAAATGCATACCCAATTTTGTGTTTTAGATTTTTAGGCATATGACATTTTATATCCAATGGAATTGATTTCTAATACTATGATGTATCTCTAGAAAATCCATGCAGGATAGAAAATTCCTTGATCAGATTATTATTGATTCTATAATATTTGCCATCATACTGTTTCTCTGGATAGTATGTTTATATAAAACTTTGACTATGTAATCATATTTTCCTTTGGCACTGGAAAAATGATTTGACAAATTAGTTTTTATATGTTCTGGACATGTGGTTTTTTTAGTTTTTGATTCTGCATACCTAAAAACCTTTAAAACAGCAGTCTGCATTGCTAATTTTTGCAAGATTCAAGAGTGTTGTCTGGTTCTGTATAAGTTTTTTCTTTTGAGTTCTAATGACCCACAGAAGGAAAAAAAATATCAAGTAAAAGATCACCTACATCTCTATTGTCTGTGACATCCTGAATTCTCTTACAATGATCACAATGTTGGACTCAAGTCATGTTGAACGTGCTTTAGCTATACTGGTTTTTGTATATACAGCTATGATGATTCAATTCTTTTGCTTCTTTACCTTTGAGAATTCCTTTAGGAATAGAATTAGCTCTCATTATGTATTAAACATGTTTTTTTCCTTGTAAATCCATCATGAAAGTTCATGGATAGGATAAGCATATACCACTTGATTTGATGGTTGGATTATATAATTCATGGTTGACCACCTGCCCAAAATATATTCTCAGTCTGTGTCAGTTGATCCTTTTTGATCCTGTGGAAAACACATACACCAAAAACCTGATGAGTAGAACATTTACTATGAGATTCCTCCTTTCCCATACTGATTCCATTCTCTCTTAATCAATTACTTGGAAGACCTTGGCTGATGATCTATCATCTTTTCCTCTGACAGGGTATCTGTGCTGGGGATGCAATGGGGTCAATAAATGGATTGGTAAGTCCACCTGGGAAGCGACCTCTTTTTTCATTTGGTGTAATCTCTGATGTCCAGTATGCTGATATTCCTGATGGCCATTCATTCCTTGGTGTTCCCCGGTATTATCGACATAGCATCCATGTATTGCAAAGGGCAGTACAAAAGTGGAATAACCACCAGAATCTTAACTTTGTGATCAACTTTGGGGATATTGTGGATGGGAAATGTCCTCCAGGCCAATCTCTAGATGCTGTAAAGAAAGTAAATAATGAATTCCAGAAAATCAATGGTCCTGTTTATCACTTGATTGGCAATCACTGTCTCTACAATCTTCCCCGTGACAAATTACTACCACTCTTGAAGATTCAAGGTCTGAATGGCCTTGCCTACTATGATTTTTCACCTAGTCCAGAATACAGAATCGTCGTGCTGGATGGCTATGATATCAGTGCAATTGGATGGCCACAAGGTCATTCTAAAACTTTACAAGCATTAGAATTTCTCGAAAAGAAGAACCCAAATTCAGATAAAAACAGCCCATCAGGATTGCTGGGCCTTGATAGGAGGTTTGTAATGTTCAATGGAGCTGTTGGGAGAGAGCAACTTGAATGGTTAGATGGCATCCTTCAGGATGCAACAAAGCTGAAGCAGAAAGTGATCGTTTGTTGTCATCTGCCTTTGGATCTTTGTGCCTCATCTCAAGAAGCACTTCTTTGGAACTATGATGAAGTAATGAACGTAATCCACCTGTACAATTGTGTCAAGGCTTGCCTTTCTGGACATGATCACAAAGGTGGGTATTCAGTTGATTCCCATGGAGTACACCACAGGTCCTTTGAAGCAGCCCTAGAGTGTCCTCCTGACAGAGATGCATACGGACACATTGATGTTTATGACGACAGGCTACTGCTTTTTGGCACCGATAGGATTCAGAGCACCGAAATGTGTTTTAATCCTTAACCTGACTTGTAAGTTTAACATTTTATTTGGTTAAACTGCCATTCATTTGTACATTATATTATCCGCATTGGAATAAATAAATTAATTAACAAGCCATGGAAGAGCTCATCATTAAACTCAACTCGGCAATTGTGTTGTGCCTTTCTCCTTCCAAAAGAGGTATGGATGCAACTATTGATTGCTATCAATGTCCAAGATTGAATACCCTACACATTTGCGATTAGGGGATGGCTTACTCTTGATGGGTCTCTGTTGCTTGTTCTCATTTGTTTATGTTTATTTGTCATGATCGCGCATGCCTGTTGTTTACACCATTGGTGCTTATTTTCAGAACTCAACTTCCTTTGTCATCTCCAGACTTGTTGGAGGTATTACCAGAATAAATGGAGTAATATTTTGGATGATGCCAGAGATGTTTCATTGCGTGCAGATAGAAAATGTGATCACCATCGTCCACATCTTCATCGTGACGCTTTGTTATTTTTGGTCCACCCTACATTTTGTCTTGTCTGCTTGATCTTCAAAATTATGCTAAGCTGTCATGATCATGTTGTCATTCTTTCTTTATGCTGCTGTATTTTATTTTTATTTTTTAATCTTTCTGGAAATGAATTGGAAGTCAATGGTTCTCTTACAGCTATAAAAAATCTGAAGGACTTGTCAAGATAAAATAACCCAGCTGACTCAAACCATCCATTTCAGATATCAGTTGCTCAGTTTTTCATAATAAAGCACTTTCTTTTCCTTGTTTCCCCACAACGAAGTCCAGATTTCCTACGAGTTCAAGACAATATAAAAAGCTCAAAACAAATTTAAGAAAATAAAACATGGCACCCACTTCTTATGCAAGACTACACGGGCTTATTGTCTGATACGATATCTGCTGCCCTATTCACTTCACTCTTATTCACTTTCTCTTCTCGATATAGAAGAAAACAAGCAAGGACACAACAGAGAAGACGCTAAAGCAAACTGAGCAAACATCCATTGCCATGTGGCGGCCGGTGATTGATTCCACTTGAAACAGATTTGTGGTTTTGTGTGCATCTGTTGTTTGGCCGTAAGCCACCTCGCTCTCATCGGCGTTATAGGCATAGGCACGTATGAAGTACGTGGCAGTGGGCACGTCACGTTGAACAGTCCACTCGAGGGATTGGAAGGTCTTGTTGGCAGAGTTGTAAGGCCTGGCGACGATCTTATGCTGGCAAGTCCTGTCCTTCTTTATGCGGTCTACAGTTTTTCTCCAGGCGCGGTCTACTTGGCTCATGGGCGCGTAGCATAGTTTGACCTTGATCGTCTTGTAGGTCGAGTCGGTCCCTGCTGCGAGGGTTTGGTTGAGCCCCCATGTCACTGTGATCTTGTCTAGACCACCTTTCAACACTGCAAATTTATTTATAATGAGTACGATTCCTAGACTAGTATGTGTCAAGTACAAATACATATTAATTTATAGTTTAAAAGATTATTTTTTTACTAAATAACCAGTATTCAGTTTTATTATCAATTAATAATCACTCTTCCCTCTACCATCATAAGGAAGAAGTAAGATATCATTAGCAATCGGTATACCACTAATAATCCCGTTATTTATTATCATGATTAGGATAAGAAAAAAACGATAAACTTCAAGAAAAAACAAGGAAAAAAAAGAGTAATTTTAAGAACATACATAAACTCGTGGATTATGATTTTAAAAGGAAACCCAATTATGAACTCCACAAACCCAACAATATATATATTTCGAAGTTTTATTATTATTTTTTCTTAATATTTGACATGATGAATATCCAATAGAGCACGCGGCCATCAAACGCGTAAACGCTGTCAAAATCTGACCTTGTTAATTAATAAAACCTACAAGATGGTGTTCCATGGCTGTTTATCTAAATCAGACAGACAAAGAAGATGGGCTGTGAGAACTGAGGAGTTGCAAAACAGAAAGAGCAAAGAAGAAGACAGTTCTTCGGGTTGCGTTACCTTGTCCTGATGTTGGTGAAGCCGTGACTGCAAGAGTTTTTTGCAGAGAGGAGAAGAGAAGAGCTACATAGCAAGGCAGTAGAGAGCAAGAGAGAACAAGGGATGCCAAGAGAAGACAACGTGCTGCCATTGGTATAGAACTGAAGATACTCTTTTCTTGTACAAAAGCAGCAAAAGTGGCTACGATCCCACTAAAACAGAACGTATGATACTATAAAGTGGAGACTACTTGGCTTCCTTATATAGTACAAGGCCAGACAAAATACAGTAAGATCTTTTTTCTTCATGGGAATAGAAAAGACTTTCACTTATTAGACAGATGACCCTTAACACCAGGAAAGGGTGGGGTTAACGGAAGAGTTCATGGGATGGATATGTTAGTAAAATTTTGTTCATTCACAGTCTGCAGTTATTTTTTAAAATGTATTTTTAATATTAACCCATCAAAATAATTAAAATATATATAAAAAATTAAATTTTAAAAATATATAATTAACTATATTTTCAAACAAACGTTTAATAATAATTTACGTGATATTATTAGTATTTTAGAAGCGTGGAAATCCATGGTGGATGTAGAGGGTATTGGTATACGTATGGAGGACATTTCATTCTTCGTAGACTTTCTTCGAAGTGGACAATTTCTATGGTTTGGGTTGTCCCCTTGCTTCTCGAAGAGATTAGACGAATCAAGGAAAGTTGCTGTTCTAAACATGGAGGCAAGAGCCAAGTAGAGTGGATTTGGAAAGGAAGAGGAAAATGGTAAGGCTCAGTTATTATACGAGCACTTGACAACTCATTCTATATTATATAGTCACTAATTCTATATTAATAAGTATTTTTTAATTTATTAAATATATAAAAATCATATTTTAAAAAATTATTTTTAATATTAATACATCAAAATAAA